GGCCGTGCCGCCCGGGCTGCTGCGACCGCCGTCCGTGCTTTTAAACTGGATAAAGACTGATGGTTTACCCCCGCTGAAGTTACTCTAAACGGGTTTCACACAGGAGGTGCTGCTTGCTTTAAGTAAAAAAAATTAAATAATCAGCACAGTTGAGGAGAAAGAGGTTTGCTGCTTTGCTGCAGGTCTCGTCCTTCATTGGATGTGCAGAGCATGCAATGGTGATGGGGAATTCGGCTCTGAAATCTCCTCTGGAAACCAGATCCCAGTTTTCCCTCACCCCATGGAAAGCTGGAGCCCAAGTTCTCTTCAGGGACGCCTCTGACCAGTGCCTTCCGGGGGCCTGCGCGGGTTTTCCCCCCACACACAGACAAGCGTGGGCCGGGAGGGCTGTGCGCCAGTAGATGGGCAGAGAGCGGTAGCCCCGTGCTGGAGGAACCATGAGCCCTCGCAGCCAGCGCAGGGCTGAGCCCTGGGCTCCGTACGGAGTTACGTGTGGGTTGGCCTGGAGAATCCAGCCCTGTTCTCTGACCGTCTCGTCCGGGCTCGGGGCTCAGCAGCAGCCAGCACCGGACGTGCAGTTTGAGGAACCGCTGGGACCTGAGCAGGCAGGCAGACGGCCGCAGCTGGGCTGCCAGTGGCACCTCGATTCCGCTGGTGGGTTGCTCTCTTTTAAGTATGGTCTGTCTGGAGAAAAGAATTCCAGAAGTAGGGGGTAACAAGCTGTGAGGTGGAGAGAGAGGACAAATAATGCAGGAGAATGGGCTTTTGGGCCAAGGCACAGGACAGGAAGAGGAAATGGTTTATGGTACCTTAAATGCCTTCCAGTGTATCGACAGAGCGATCCCCACCTCGGCCCTTTAGGAGCCAAAACAATAGGTGAAAGGATCGAGTGAGATGCAGAAAAAAACAGAATTTGAAGAGATTTGAGATTCAGCCTTCATTCGAGTTCTGATTTGTCCTAAACCAGTGCAGCGTTCCCAGAGTGGCCTCAGACAGCGGGACGTTAAATGCTGTGCTGTGCGATGCGTAACAGAGAGCCACATGAGTGCGTTCAGATACCCACACCCTAACCGGAGCTCAAACACGGCGGCTTTTGAAGGCAAGGCTGAGAAGCGCCAAGGAGCACAGCCTGTCCCCTCTTCCTCCACCATTGCAGAGGTTCTGGAAGTAGCTCACCTTGGCTTCCCAAGTGAAAGTCGCTACAACAGCGCTGAATTACTTAAAAATTGATGTTTATTGTCCATGTGGTGTGCAGCTGAGTGAGCTGCTGTGGCTCCTCACAAGAGGAAAATGCTTGTTGAATGAACCATGATC